GTATCTCATTTGTCAATATTTAAGATCTCAGTTGATGTCTGTAATCTAGAACGTGCCAATTTTTACCACAAAAGTAACTTTAAATTGTACTTATTTGGCAGTTTTTAGTAGCATAACTTTTATTTTAGAAAATATGGAAGGCCAGGCATGGTGACACATACCTTTAATCCCAAGAATCAGAAGTCAGAATCAGGGTGATTTCTGAGCCCAAAGCCAACCTACATAGTGAGTTCCAGGACAGTGAGACCCCACCTCAAAAATAAATAAATAAATTCAAATTTATTTTCAGTTATATACACATTGTGAGTTCAAGGCAAGCCTAGTCTATATGAAACTCTGGCTCAAAACAAGCAATGCTTCCAGTTTAAAAGAGACTAAAGAGACATGACAGCCATTTTTTTTTTTTTTTTTTAATTTTCTGTAAAGGATAGTAGTGAATAAAGTCAATAGATTGAATAGTGGTACTTTGTCTACATAGGAAAATGAACTTACCTTTAGGAAATACTAAGATACAATTATTGGGGTTAGAGAGATGGTTCAGGGGTTAAGAGCACTGGCTGCTCTTCTGGAGGTCCTGAGTTCAATTCCTAGCAACCACATGATGGCTGATCTATAATGGGATCTACTGCCCTCTTCTGGCCTGCAGGCATGCATGCCGACAGAACACATAGCCCCCCCTCCCCCCCCAAAAGATGCAGTTATTCTCAAATAGTCCTGTGTCTGTGTCTATTTCTAGCCATTTCTTAGTTGGTAAGCTTATATGATGTAGTTGATACAGATACTGCTAGAGAAAGAGTGAGACAGATAAAGGATAATGCACACACAAATTCTGTAATAATGTTGTATGTCATGGGGATATTTGGATTAAGGATAGACATAGCTTTAGCTTGGTGTTTTATGCCTGTAGTTTAAGCACTTGAAAGGCTGAGGTAGGCAGAATGCTGTGAGTTTGAAACCAGCCTAGTTTAGACTTTGAGTTCCTAGACTATATAGTGAGGCCCTGTCTCAAAGAGGGGTAGGGGGAAGCAAGCCTGTGAGATGGCTCAGTGAGTAAAAGTGCCTGCCACCAGCCCTGAAGGCCTAAATTCCATCCTTGGGACCCACATGGTGGAAGTAGAGAACCAACTCTCACAAGTTACCCTCTGATCTTCATTATGGGGCTTTGGCTCAGGTGTGTCCATATACAGATCCACAAAGACACACAAGTAAATACATTTTGAAAAAAATTAGACATAAACCTTTGTAGGAAATATATTTTTTGTCTGAACTTTTCTCAAATTAAGTTTGAAAAAGTAAACAAAACAAAATCCAGGTGGCACATACCTATAATCCTAGCCCTTGGAAGGCAGAGGAGTTCCAACCTGGCCTAGGTACAGAGCGTCTTCCAGGACAGCCAGCACTGTTACATAGAGAAACCCTGTCTCAAAAAAGCAGAAAACCTGGTTTGGTGGCATATAGATTAGAAAGGCAGAGACAAGAGACCAATCTGGTCTACATAGCAGGTTCCAGGGCATCCAGAGCTACATAGAGAATCTTTGTTTCAAAACACATATGTAAAACCACACACATACACCCAAAACAAACAAACAAAAAGAAAGAAAAAAGTAAAAATTGAGTGGGTGTTACTCTAATTAGTCACCAATGAACCAGTGACTGTTTTAACTAAATTTATTACTGACTTGTGAATGCTGCATGCTGACACTAGATAACCATTCCTTTCTGTATTCTTAGCAGTCTTTAAAAGTATGGCATAAGAGAACACTGGCTTGACCATCAGGAGACAAGCGCTTCTCTTAGGTCCACAGCTCATCTTTTAGTGAGATCTTAAGGAAATCACTGTCTTTGAGTCACCTTTCCTGTCTGAAAACTGGAGAGCTGTATAAACTAGTATTGTTACTTAGGTTCTAGAAGTTTTGTGATGTTGGCTTTAATCAAAACCAATAATTTGTTGTGGGCCACATGAAAAAGGCTTGAGCCTTTTTGACACAAGACAATCAAAAAGTCTATAGAGGGGCTAGAGAGATGCCTCAGTAGTTAGGAGTGCTTGCTGTTCTTCCAGAGGACCCAGAATTGTTTTTCAAGCACCCACATGGCAGTTCACAACTGCCTGTTTTAGGAGATCCTATACTATCTTCTGTACTCTGTGGGTAGCCACATGTGTACATATACCTGCATACATATATACACGTACACATAAAATAATAGAAGTATTCTTAAGATAGTCTATAGAAACTAGAGCTAGAAGCCACCTGTTAAACCATATAATTTGTCCCTCAACTTGCACAAACTCTCCATGCTGTTTGGACTGTGCACTCTCCTGTGTGTTGTAGCCATTCATTGTTTTCCAGGATCTGACTTGTGCTTTCAGTTCACTCTTTCTTTTAATCACTTAGGGAGGGACTGAGGTTGTTCTTAACTCTCAAAAATTACCATCTTTCATATTTGGACTTGTTTTTGAAATTGAACTTTGCCCCTGTGGCAGAGACTAACAGGCAGGTGTCTGTTTTCCTTGGGGAGCTTGGACAGACTTGGTTGGTAAGAACTTAGTTTTGACTGTAGTATTTATATACTGCAATAGAGAAGTCAGATTTCAGGATAAAGATTGAGATTTTAACTTTCCTTTATTAAAAGATCACTGGGACAGAAAATTTGGGCTTTTAACCTTGTAACCAACCCTTAAAATACAGAACAAAAGGAAGGAATGTACACATGTAGGAATATAGGCACTCTGATACCCTTCTGTTGGTGAGGATGTAAATTGATGTATTCTTTTGTGAACATAATTAACAATGTCAGTTAAATACAACAGAGCAGAGCCCAGAGCTAACTTAAATTTCACTTCAAGGAATTTATGCTGTAGAATATGAATTACAACATTATTCATAAAGATGAAAATTTAGAAATGATCTAAATGTTCATTTGGGAACATTAAGCAGTTTATGTTATGGGATCCGTTCTTACACAACTCTCAGAAGGTAATGCAGGAACGTTTTTGTTACTGTGTTCTGTTCCCTTCTTTCCTCAAACCTGACATTCTGTTATATCCTCAGCCTCCCCAAGTAGCTGGAATTACAGGCAAGCACTGATACACTTGAGCTGCAGGAGGCTTTTGTAGTGCTGCGAAATGGGCTTATGATTGCCTTTCCTCCAAACAGCTAATAAACTCCCTATGTGGTTACTGGAGTTGAGTTTCTGTAGAACCAACATAGTTTATTAAAGTAATGATTTTTCTTTTCTTAACAGCTAGAGTTGGGAAGACATCACTGATTATGTCTTTGGTCAGTGAAGAATTTCCAGAAGAGGTAAACATTTAATTTCTTATGTAATGTTTTTTCTTGTTTGTTTGTTTTAATAGCCAAAAAAAAAAAAAAAAAAAGTGATATGTCAATGCCCCCTTCAACAGTCAGGATTTTTGTGTGTGTGTGTGGTTTGAGTACTCTGTCTGCATGTGTGCCTGCCAGAAGAGGGCACCAGATTTCATTATGGAACTCAGGACCTCTCAAGAGCAGCCAGTAGCCCCCAACAGTCAGGACTTTTAAAAAGCTATATTTGTGAGCTGGGCTATAGTGGCACCCCCCTTTAATTCCAGCACTCTGGAGGGGCAGAGGCAGGCGGATCTCTGTGAGTTCGAGACCAGCCTGGTCTACAAGAGCTAGTTCCAGGTCAGCCTCCAAAGCCACAGAGAAACCCTGTCTCGAAAAACCAAAGGAAAAAAAAAGCTATATTTTTTTATAGAGGATATCACTTTAAGAAAGATCCTAAGTTCTCATTTTGTGCCTTTGACTTTGTCATAAAATTGTTTTCTTTTACATTGTGTATGTTTGCACACATACATGTATGTCTCAGCACAGCATGGCTATCAGAGGACAACTGGTGGGAGTCAGTTTTCTCCTCCTTCCACAGGAGTTTAAGGATTGACTTCAGATTGTCAGTCTTGTTGGCAAGTCACTGAGCTGTCTTACCAGCCAATGGCGTAGTCAGTTGTCATCTCTTTGTCTTGGGTGTTTTATTTTATTTTATTATTATTATTTTTTCGAGACAGAGTTTCTCTGTGTAGCTTTGGAGCCTATCCTGGCACTCACTCTGTAGACCATGCTGGCCTCGAACTCACAGAGATCTGCCTCCCTCTGCCTCCGGAGTGCTGGGATTAAAGGTGTGTGCCACTACTATCCGACAGTTCTTTTATTTTTAAAATAGTGGCAATAAGGATCGCCTGGGTAACCTGTTCTTAGAAGTAAAATGTTTTCCAGAACCTCAAATGTGAAAGAGATAGTAAAAATACAATTAATGTTGGAGTTTGCAGTTACCCTTTCTTTACTCTTATTTAGAAAGAAATAACCTTATAGTTTTATTGCTGAGCTAGGAATTTGATGTGTCATGTGGCAGTGTCTGTGTTTTTCTTGATTCTTGTGGCTGGGATTAAATCCAGGGTCTTGTGCATACCAAGCAAGAGCTTTACTACTGAGCTATATCTCCCATTGGTAGTGTTTTTAGCATTCATAATTCTGTGACTGCTTATTTTCTTTGTTCCCCTTAGCATTAAGGAAGAATCAAATAGTAATTCCTTAATTTGAAAAAAAAATGGAGTATATTGTGGAATCACTAACATTAGTTAAGAATTATTTAGGTTGTAATATATAAAGTTCTCTGCGAAAGGACACCAGGCATGCATGTGATTCACAGATACACATGCAAGTGAAATCTATACATGTAAAAAATAAATTAATTAAAAACAAAGGAGTAAGCCACCACACTTTGCAATTTTGCTAAAAATATGCATCTTTCTGAAATGTGGAGTTATAAACACAAGACTTATGGAGCCAATCAGTTATCTAGCCTAGGTAAAATTAATATTTATTGGTTACCTTGAAGGTTGTCACTTGTTTTGTGTTTTTGTGGGTTTTGCAAGGCTGAGGATTAAACCCCAGACTGCACGTGCAAGACATCATTGAGTACACTCGTCAAGACTGCTTTGGATTAACCTAGCTGCTTATTTGTAAAGTGTTTTAAATTCTCAACAAAATAGAATGAAAACCATACAGTTTTTAAAGAAATCTAATATTTGAATACCAAATTAAGAATTGTTTTAAGTTCGTGAAAAACTTGAGATATCGTTATTATGGCCTCTGACTACAAAGATAGAGTTTTTTTCCCCTTTAACCTAGGGCTGGACATTGCTAGACAAGCACTCTATTGTATGTACTCTGCTGGGAACTTATTTTTTTTCTTTGCTTTTTATTTTATTGTTAAAATTTTTATTTGTTATTTCTATGTGCATTTGTACCACAGTACACATTTGGAGGCAAGAGGACAACTTGTGGGAGTAGGTTCTCTCTTTTTACTATGACAATTTCAGGGATCAAAAGTCTGATCACTCAGGTGGTCAGACTTAGTAGCAAGCTCCTTACCTACTGATCCATCTTACTAGTTCTTAAAAATGTTTTTATGGGGCTGGGGAGATGGCTCAGCAGTTGAGAGTACTGGCTGCCCTGGATTCAATTCCCAGCACCCACAGGGCAGCTCACAACTGTCTGTAACTGCAGTTCTAAGGGGACTGACACCCTCACACAGACATACATGCAGACAAAACACCAATGTAAATAGAAGTAAATAAATTATTTTAAAATGTTTTTATTGTAGTTTTATATAATAAAGCACCTCAATGAAAGCATTTTAAAATGCAGTGAATAAGAGTAGCTTTTGAAGAAGGGCCTGATATAGATTAATCTACATGGTCTATTAGAAGATTGATGGATAATTTCTCCACATTTATTCTTTTTAATATTTGTTTTCAAATAAAGGTTCCTCCTCGGGCAGAAGAAATCACCATTCCAGCTGATGTCACCCCTGAGAGAGTTCCAACACACATTGTCGATTACTCAGGTAATCAGTGGTCTCTTGTGGTGAGGCTCTGCAGTTAATTTAATAGCCCTGAAAATAGAACCTCACTGAGCTTGTAAAAATGTTCAGAAGTTCAGCATTTAAGATCACATAATCCTCCCGCCCCTTTCCCCCCCAGGCAGGGTTTTTTGTGTAGCCCTGACTATCCTGGGATTCACTCTATAGCCTAGGCTGGCTTGAACTCACAGAGATCCACCTACTTTTGTCTCCTGAGTGCTTTGATTAGAGGCGTGTACCACCATTACATGGCTAGGTCATATACTACTCCCCAGCATCCACATCAGATGGCTCACAACCTCCTGTAACTCCAGCCTCAGGGTTATCCAGTACCTCTGGCCAACACAACGTGTATACCATATACACATATTCAAAACAGAGTCAGAAGATTCTGAGTCTTAAAATTTGTTGAAGAGCTGAGGATGTAACTCATTTACATAGTGTTTTCCTAGCCCTGAATTTGATCTCCTGGATCACACACAGACATGTAAATATTCTAATGATTTGTTAAACTCTGTATGTGTTCTTAAATTTCTCAGCCTTTGAGCCGGGCAGTGATGACGCATGCCTTTGATCCCAGCACTCAGGAGGCAGAGGCAGACGGATGTCTGTGAGTTCGAGGCCAGTCTGGTCTACAGAACAAGTTACAGAACAGCCAGGGCTACACAGTGAAATCCTGTTCGAAAAAACAAAGAGTAGAAAAGAAAATAAAAGCATTACCAAAGATAAAATTATCTGACTACATTTTTTTTTTAATAAAGATTTATTTATTGCCAGGTGGTGGTGGCGCACGCCTTTAATCCCAGCACTCGGGAGGCAGAGGCAGGCAGATCTCTGTGAGTTGAAGCCCAGCCTGGTCTACAAGAGCTAGTTCCAGGATAGGCTCCAAAGCCCCAGAGAAACCCTGTCTCAAAAAACCCAAAAAAAAAAAAAAAAAGATTTATTTATTATGTATACAGTGTTCTGCCTGCATGTGTTCCTGCAGGCCAGAAGAGGGAATCACTCTTATTTTGGTACTTTGTCTAGTTCTACAGTATGTCATTTTGAAGATTAATTGTGGGTTTTTTGTTTGTTTTTTGTTTTTGAGACAGGGTTTCTCTGTGGCTTTGGAGGCTTTCCTGGAAGTAGCTCTTGTAGACCAGGCTGGTCTTGAACTCACAGAGATCTACCTGCCTCTGCTTCCCGAGTGCTGGGACTAAATGTGTGCACCACCACCACCCGGCAATTAATTGGTTTTTATCAGAATGTGTCTGTGCCTGCAGGTATGTAAAATGTTCAAGCCTAGTGCCCATGGAGGCCAGAAGAGGGTGTAGGATACCCTGAATCTAGAGTTATAGATAAGACTATACTTTCAGGGATCATTTCTATAGTTCGTTACTAGAGTTATTGACAGTTATGAGCTGCTGTGTAGATGCTGGGAACCAAACTATGGTCCTCTGAAAGAGTAACAAGTGCTCCTAACTACACAACCATCTATGTTGATTTTGTTAGGTGGATGTTACATGAGGTTTTTTGTTTTGTTTTGTTTTTTTTGCTTGACTGTTAGTTATGAAATTTTTAAAATACAAAACATTGACTTTTATCATTTGTAGAAGCAGAACAGAGTGATGAACAACTTCATCAAGAAATATCACAGGTATTCATAACAAAGTCCTTCTGTGTGTGTGTATGTGTATGTGTGTGTGTACATGAACAATGATAATTCTATGAGTCTATTTTTGTAGTTCTCTTACCAAGATTATGCTTTTTCTGAGGAGCAGTTGGGTATGGAGACAGTTTCTTGTAGCCCAGACTGGCCTTGAATGCCCAGTGTAGTTGAGACTTGTCTTGATGCCCTCTGCCTCTACTTCTTGAGTGCTGTATAGTTGTGTGCTATCATACTCCAGTTTACTAGGAGTTTCTCAACTCTTTGTTGTCATTAGTGTTTGAGTATGTATTTTTTGCTCCTGTTCTTTAGGGATATTTTCCTCTTATAAGCAAGTTTTTCTTCAAAAAATTTCCCCCTTTGGCTCAAAAATCTTAGGTAGTTGATAATTAAATCCTGTTGTGTATATTTTACTTCAAAGTGCCACTAATTTGTTAATTTTTCTTCTAGGCTAATGTCATCTGCATAGTTTATGCTGTTAACAACAAACATTCTATTGATAAGGTATATTTAAATTTTCTTTATATTTAAATTAAATGTGACACTATTTATTTACTTACTTATTTTGAGGCAGTTTCTTTTATTTTTCCAGACAGGGTTTCTTTATGTAGCCTTTCTTTTATAGGAACTAGTTCCATAGACCAGACTAGCCTTGAACTCACAGAGCTCTACCTACCTCTCTGCCTCCAGAGTCCTGGGAGTAAAGGTATGCGCCACCACTTCCCATTGAAACAGGTTCTTTTTTGTTGTTGTTGTTTGTTTGTTTGTTTTGGAGCCTGTCCTAGAACTCTTTCCATAGACCAGGCTGGCCTTGAAATCACAGAGATCTGTCGAAGCAGATTCTTAATATGTAGCTGAGGTCTGGAATTGTTATATAGCTCAGGGTGGCATTGAACTTGCAGTCCTCCTGCCTCAAGTTTTTGTCTCCCCCCCCCCCCCCCAGACAGGGTCTCATTGTGTAAACTTGGCTGTCCTGGAACTCTCTCTATGGATCAGGCTGGCCTCAAGCTCATAGAGCTCCATCTGCCTTTGCCTTTCAAGTGGTGGGATTACAGGCATGTACCACCACTGCCCCAGCTTTGTTTTGTTTTTAAGGTAGAGTCTGGCTCTGTAACCTAGGCTGACCTGGAACTCATGATCTCCTGCCTTACCCTAGGATTCCAAATACATGCCTAGTTTTAATGGGTCATATCTGATCATCCAGTCAGTTTTATGGAGAGATGGCTCAGAGGCTGCTCTTCTTCTGTAATTCCATTTCAGTTCTAGGGGTTTGCTCTCTTCTGCCCTCTTGCCCCAAGCAAGCACATGCAGACTGAACACTCATAATCATAAAATAACAATTATTAAAAAGTATGCTTTTTCTTTTTTGTCCTGCAACCTTTTATTTATTTTTTTAAAGACAGAATCTCTCTTTGTAGCCCTGACTGGCCTGGAACTCCATATATAGACTAGGCTGGCTCAGAAATCTCCCTGTCTGTCCCTCCTGAGTGACAGGATTAAAAGTGTGCAGTTTTTCTTTTCTTTCTTTTTGTTTTTTTTGGGTTTTTTTTTGGTTGGTTGGTTGGTTGGGTTTTCAAGACAAGGTTTCTCTGTGTAATAGCTCTGGCTGTTCTGAACTTGCTTTGTAGACCAGGCTGTCGTCAGACTCACTGAGATCCACCTGCCTCTGCCTCCCAAGTGCTGGGATTATAGGTGTGCGACACCACCACCCAGCTAGTGTGTAGCTTTTCAAAGAAGATCTGTATCACGGTTCAACTCCTAATTATTTTCATTTTAGGTAACAAGTCGATGGATTCCTCTCATAAATGAAAGAACAGACAAAGACAGCAGGTATTTTTTTCCTTCAAACTTTTTTTTTAAAATTTCACACTTAGAGAAAAGATGTAAGAAGCAGTAACAAACGTATCTGTAAAGCCTTTACTTAGATCTACTGGTTGTTAATGTGTTCTATGCTGGTTTTTCTTTCAAATATTTATTTGTGTGTGTGTGTGTGTGTGTGTGTGTGTGTGTGTGTGTGTGTGTGTACATAGGTGTCTGTGTGACATATGCAAGATTTAGGGCTGAAGTGGATAAGAGCACTTGTTTCAAAGGACCTGGGTTTGGTTTGGATTTCAAGTGCCTACATAGAGGCTCACCACCTCCTCAGGCACCAGGCACAAGTGTGGTACACAGGCATACATGCAAGCAAAACACTCACACATAAACTAATAAAAAATAAATCTAAGTGGGTGGTGGTGGCACATGCCTTTAACCCCAGCACTCAGGAGGCAGAATCAGGTGGAGCTCTTGAGTTTGAGGCCAGCCTAGTCTACAAATTGACTTCCAGGACAACCACTGTATTTTTCAAAAGGTTTTTATGGGTCAGTGAAATGGTTCTGTTACTAAAGGTGACAACCCCGTTGACATATGATCCCTAGAATACACACATACACACGCACACGCACACACACGCAGAGAAAGAGACAGAGACAGAGATTAAGTAAATAAATTAAATTAATAAAAAAAATAAAAATAAAAGCTTCCAAAGCTACACAGAGAAACCCTGTCTTGAAAAAAACAAAACAAAAATAAATAAATAAATAAATAAATAAAAGCGTTTTCCAGAATTTGAGATAGCTTAGTTGGTAAAAGTTCTTGCTGACTAACTTGACAACCTGAGTTTGATCCCCAGGATCCACATGGTAGAAAAAGAGAAATGAATCTACAAAGTTGTCCTCTGGTCTCTACTTGGACATGGCATACTTGTACACATACACATAAACATACAAATGTAGTAAAGAAATGTTTTAAAGAGCCTTTTTATTTATTTCTTTTACTGTTTTCATTTTGGTTGTTTTTCTTCAGTGAGTGAAAGCTCATAATTTTATTGTCTTCATGACAAAATCATCTTAGCTGGGCTGTAGTGGCAGATCTCTGTTGAGTTTGAGGCCAGTGTGGTCTACAGAGAAAGTTCTACAACATCCCGGGTTACAGAGTGAGACCTTGTCTTGAGAAACAAAAACCTTAAAATCATTTTAGACCGCATCACTTGGCTCTTTCTCTTCTTACTACCTCCCAGTTTATAGAGCTCACATCTATGAATAGCCAGCATCCTCTTAGATCTGCAGTCAAGCTTAGCACACTCAAGCCTTAGCAGTCTTTGTAACTTGAGCCTTTTTGTGGAAAATAAGCATAGTCTGCCTACCATAGCTGTTCCACCTCCTGTCATAATTCTACTTTACCTAGACATACAAAGATTCCTTCCCTTTCTTATACTGTGTCACTTTGTGGGGCTGGTGCTTGCCACATTTCTTGCAGAAAGTTTGGTGTCTCTTAGGAACATTCACCATGTTGGTAAAATTTTTCAGCAAAGGGTGGGTGGGTAGGTTCCTTCCTTCCTTCCTTCCTTCCTTCCTTCCTTCCTTCCTTCCTTCCTTCCTTCCTTCCTTCCTTCCTCCCTTCTCTCTCTCTCTCTCTCTCTCTCTCTCTCTCTCTCTCTCTCTTTCTTTCTTTCTTCTTTCTTTCTGTTTTTTGAGACTGGGTTTCTCCATGTAGCCCTAGCTGTTCTGGAATTCACTCTGTAGACCAGGCAGGTCTTGAACTCACAGAGATCCCCCTCCCTGCCTCTGCCTCCCCATTGCTAGAATTAAAGGCATGCACTACCACCTCCTGGCTCCAAGGCTGTTTCTTTTGTTTGTTTGTTTGTTTGTTTTTGTTTTTGTTTTTCGAGACAGGGTTTTTCTGTGGCTTTGGAGGCTGTCCTGGAACTAGCTCTTGTAGACCAGGCTGGTCTCGAACTCAAGAGATCCAAGGCTGTTTCTTAATGAGAAAATTCACACATAAATAAGAGAGAATAGCTGGGTGTGATGGCACATTTGTTTATTTCCAGCACTTGGGAGCCAGAGGCAGGCAGATCTCTGAGTTCAAGGCCAGCTTTGTTTACAGAGTGAAGTCCAAGATAGCCAAGGCTACATAGAGAAACCCTGCCTTGAAAAACCAAAAAGAGAGAGGGAGAGAGGGAGAATGAGAAAGTAAATAATGTCACTCAGCTTCAACAGTTAATTCAGGACCAGTCTTGTTTATCTATCCCATTGGGGCCATTTTGAAGCAAACAGACTTCATACCAAGTTGTAAATACTTCACTATGTATCTCTGAAAAGTTGCTGATCACATTCCCAGAACCCACATGATGGCTCAGCAGTTAAGAGCACTGGCTGCTCTTGTAGAAGATTTGGGCTTGGTTTTGATCACCCACATGGTGGCTTATAACTGTCTATAACTCTAGTTGTAGGGGAATCCAATGCCTTCTTCTGAGTTCTGTGGGTGCCAGGCATGCACGTGGAGTACATACTTTTATGCAGGCAAAGCACTTATGGATGTAAAAACCTAAAACAAAACAAAAACTTTAGTGTTGAGTTCAATAGTATCAGATACATTAAAAATAGTAATAATAAAAAACATTGATTAGATCAGATCTTGCCCCTGCTTTAACTCTTCATTGATTTCTCTTTTATCCTAATGATTCAACCTACATTCCTTATAAGTCTTAATGTACTTAATGTATCTGCTTGTTCATCCTCAGTGTAACCCACTTTTTTTTTTTTTTTTAAAGATAAAAAGCACGAGGTTTTATTGTTGTTTAACGAGCTAACCCATGTTAGCTCGGGTCTTTCATCCCCCTGCCATGGTGGATGGCTAGAAAAGATCGTAACCCACTTCTTATGCTTTCCTTGTTCACCACTCTCTGTTCTGGCATGCTTTCCTGTTCTCTGACCGCCCCCCCCCCCCCAGGATGTTCATGCCTCTCTTTTCCCCAGCAAACTCTCCTGCCCTCCATGTGGCAGATTCCATCTTGTCCCTCAATCCTTGGCTCAAATGTCATCTCCCTCCCGCTATTCTGTCCTGTGCCTCCCTTTTCAGTTCCTTCATTATACTTGAAATAGAAATTATTTACTGCTAATTTCCCTTCCTTTCTCCCTTCCTTCCCTCCTCCCTCTTCCCTCCCTCCCTCCCTCCCTCCCTCCTTCCCTTCTCTCTCTCTCTCTCTCTCTCTCTCTCTTTCTTTCTTTCTTTCTTTCTTTCTTTCTTTCTTTCTTTCTTCCTATTTTATGTTTATTGGTATTTTGCCTGCATGTGTGTCTGTGTGAGGGTGTCAGATCCCCTGAAACTATAGTTTCAGATATTTAGTTCTGGGTATCGAACCTGGGTACTCTGGAAGAGCAGGCAGTGCTCTTAACTGCTGAACCATCTCTCTAGCTCCCAGGAACCATTTTCTTAATGCCTTTAATATTTAGAAGAG